GTTGTAAGTGTCGTAAAACTCTTACGAAGACTAAATGTGAGGCAGTGTGGTGGAATCAGGCTCTCGTCAAAATAATGAAATCGAAGAAAACAGCAGTTTTCTCTCTGCTTAGCAATTTTTATCAAATTTTTGTTTTTTTGGCTCAACACCTTTTATGTCCATTTACAAACACATTCCTTTGAGGATTTCACAGAAAACGTTGATTTAAGGCACAAAAATATAAATTTACTGTTTCCATGGACTCTCCAGCTTTTGAATTTACCGAGGTTTGCCGGCCATTTTCTCGCTAATTTTACCCCTTAAATCAGGTGACCCCCACCTCTTTCAATCCAAAATATCTCCACTTCTATTGAAGATGAATGGGTAATTTTTTCATTGAAAGCAAGACAAAGGAACACGCTTTAAGATGATACCAATACCTCAATATGCCCAAAAATTGACGAGAGCCTGATTCCACCACGCTGCCTCACTTATTGTGTTGTAAGTGTAGTAAAACTCTTACGAAGACTAAATGTACTACAAATGTACGTATTTATTATCTGTAGGGGTTACTTCTACATCTCTCGACTCCCTTTATCGCGGCCACTTCTCCCATCGTCCGCGTAAAGTGCTGTGGCGTTGTTACACTTACAAATTATTACAACAGCTGATAGGTGGCTAGATAGATCTATGTGTGTGGGTGGTTGGCGGGCGCCACTGGAAGGTCTAGGTCCTGCTTGCTTCTTCACTATCCTTTTTTCCCCCTGTTTTCTGATTAGCTTTTCCCCCAGCACGAAATGACCTTTATTGTGTTGATGTGTTTCCTTTTACTCAAACTCAAACCCGGATCTGAGTTGGTATGAGAAGGGAGTGGGGAAGATAATGACCATCTGTGTATCAGTTTGTGTATGTGTTAGTGTGTTTATGTGTGTATAAATGTATTGTGTGTGTATGTGTGAGTGTGTTTATGTGTGTGTATGCGCGTATATTTATTCTGCGTGCGTACATTTATTGTGTGTGTGTGTATGTGTGCGTATATTTTTGTGTTTGAGTGTGTGTGTGCATGTGTGTGAAAGAGAGAGAGAGAGAGAGAGAGAGAGAGA